TTGTGAATTGAAAATGCAAGCTTCGTTATAAATTCTGATGACACGTCCGCAGGCGTCCATTACATTTGTTAATGACGTGTTATTTGTATAAACTAGAGGTCCCGCAGTAGTCGAAATTCGACTATAATTAATTGGAATTGTAAGTTTGTACACTATTATGATTGTATTTTATACTTCTATAATCACAAATTTCGCCAAGACTACACTATAAAAAATATTAACAAAGACAAACAATATTTAATCTATTCTCAATTTGACAACAGACGTCAAGAACAAAAGTTTGACAATANGAAATTCGACTATAATTAATTGGAATTGTAAGTTTGTACACTATTATGATTGTATTTTATACTTCTATAATCACAAATTTCGCCAAGACTACACTATAAAAAATATTAACAAAGACAAACAATATTTAATCTATTCTCAATTTGACAACAGACGTCAAGAACAAAAGTTTGACAATAAATAGTATGCATGCGTGTGTGCGTCAAACACATGGTATGTAGTGTGTGTAACGTTTTCTTTATTGATTTAATGTATCTTTTATGCATTATTTAAAAAAAATATTAGCATTGTGCACTTCTTCTCTATATTCTCTATAAGTGGAAAATTTCATACTCCTTCGTCCGCGCAATTTTCGTAAAAAGGGATACAAAGTTTTTGCTTCACGTATTAATATATAGATTAATTGAATAACTTAACGTTATATACGATTTTTTATTGCTTCGTTGCCAAATTTATTGTTATAACTACGTAATTAGAACAAATACTGGTGTTAGGACGTCTTGTCCGTCCGTACGGGTAGGTACCACCACCCTGCCTATTTCTGCCGTGAAGCAGTAATGCGTTTCGGTTTGAACTAGTTTGAAGTTGAAGGGCGGAGCAGCCGTTGTTTTTTTTCTTTTTTATTGCCCGTGTAGGCAGACGAGCATACGGCCCACCTGATGGTGAGTGGTTACCTTCGCCTATGACTTCAACAATGCCAGGGGCAGAGCCAAGCCGCTGCCGCTGCCTGCCTGCCTAGTTAAGTATTCTCCACAAGCCTCATTTGAAGAACTCTACTCCGGTGGCGGACGGTGCGATGGTAAAAACGAGATGATGGTATCATCTCAAACAATTCCTCAGGGCACTCCCCATGGAACATACGGTACAAAATACAGAGGGAACCGAAGTCTCTCCGCGGACCCAGATGCTCCAAACGATCTGTGAGAATGGGGTTATCGACAATCCGAACGGCTCTCTTCTGTATGGAGTCAAATGGAAGAAGCTGGTATTTGGGAGCCCCGGCCCAGAGATGGGAGCAGTACTCCACGCGAGGCCGGACTTGTAGTGCTGTTGTACTGTTAAACTGAGACCTCAGAACTCAGTATTTACCCTGTAGATGTCTAAGAGCTTCGGTAACCACCTACCACCAAGTGCAGAGTGAGCTCGTTCAACCCCCTGAGCAAAAAAAAACCATAAATAAAATTAATCTTACGGTTTCATCTCACGTACTTCATTGCCATTATAATTATTTCTTGGCGTTTCTATTACTTTACAGCTTGATTCAATAAATGAAAAAAACCTTCTTAAATGTTTTCCATTGTAATATTCTATTTGTGTGCGTTTATTCATTTTGAAATGATACACAATTTCCCTATAGAAAATCCTTTAAGTACGATTGAATTCGAGCTTTCTCTCTACGCCCCTGTGAAACGGAGCTTTGAAGGCATTTACCGTCCTCCCCATTTTTCCTTTTACTCGTAAATCCTTTACAAAGACAGGCGGTCTCGAGCTTTTTGAGGGTCAACGAATTTCGTGAGCCTCTCGAATTAAAAAAAAACTGTTCGTAAACTTTCAAGAAATTAACCATAAGGTAGTTTTTAAGGGATTTTTATAATAATCTATGTAATATGTTTTTTATTGTAATGAAAAACTAGTGTTTGTAAAGAGAAATTTATTTTATCAAATGAATGTCTTGCAAACACAACTTACTTCTAGAGTTATGCTTACTTATTGAAACAAAAAACTAAAATTGTTGCTTTGTAAAGAGAAATTTATTTTATCAAATGAATGTCTTGCAAACACAACTTACTTCTACGCTTAGAGTAACTATGGCTATTTAATAACCTATAAAGAGAAACAACATTGAAAGCAAATTCCTTCAACACTTAATATCTTTTCACAATCTGAAATATTTATTATATAAATATTTTAGGCAGCGGCTTGGCTCTGCCCCTGGCATAGGCAGCGGCTTGGCTCTGCCCCTGGCATTGCTGAAGTCCATGGGCAACGGTAACCACTCACCATCAGGTGGGCCGTATGCTCGTCTGCCTACAAGGGCTATAAAATAATAATAATAATAATAATATTTCTTTTTTTTCAACCGTGTTGCTTTTTCCAGAGAGAAGTTTTCTGATTATAGATAGAACATAGTGTCAAATGTTGTCACCATAGATAATGCTATTATGTCTGTCGAAGTTAATGCGCGGGCAATTTCAATATAGTCAATAGCCAAAAGAGCTTCATTTACATATTATACATATACTCGGACATATATATAACTGTTGCAGCTGTCTAGGCCGTAAACACAACTATTGAATGGGCTCCTTATCCTATTTAATTAGAAGGAGTTTCCGATATTTTGTCCCTTGCAATGTATTTATTATGCAGTAGTTGAAAACTTGCTAACAAAAACTCTCTAAAAGATTGAACTCAATCGAACACACACAAACACTCATTTTGATTTATAACAGAATTAAAATATTTAACTAATAGCATTTATATTGTAAGAAATAAAGAAGTTTAATGTGAGAGATAAACGGCGGAATTACTGGTAGTCTTGTGAGCCCGAACGGATAGGTACCACCATTCTGACTATTTATATCACAAAGCAAATTTTTCGGGCAGCAAAGCTGTATTACAAAAGTGACACTTACAACTCATGTCTCAAGATAAATGGCGGCTCAAGTAGCTGGCGGTTTCTGTTACAATTTTTTTTTTTTTATTGCTTAGATGTGTGGACGAGCTCACAGCCCACCTGGTGTTAAGTGGTTACTGGAGCCCATAGACATCTACAACGTAAATGCGCCACACACCTTGAGATATAGTTCTAAGGTCTCAGTATAGTCACAACGGCTGCCCCACCATTCAAACCGAAACGCATTCAACGCTTCACAAAGCCAATAAAAGGCTCGTCCAATAGCGCCGTATAAAGTAACTCTCAAAAAATTCACCTAAACATCGGTATTCCGTTCTCATTATATCGGCCGTGACCGCTGTCTGTCTGACTTCAACAGCCCTGACCTTCGAGAGCTGTTATCATTTGATTCCCTAATTTATCGGTGGCCGATACTTTGAAACTAGCGATTTAAACACGACTTAGAAGGCGAAAGTGCCAAATTCTTCAGTAATTGTGGCGGGTAGCCACCATACAACGCAAGATATTTGACAGATGCCTGAATCTCGCTTACGACATTTTCAAGATAAAGCGCATATATACAAGTTCCGAACAACAACATTCGGACCGTCGTCGGTCTACCGAGCAATATCAGCCGCTCGGTGGAAGATCTTCCCTTTGTCGTATATTCCTACAGTAATTATTGTGTTTATGACATTTTTCTGCGAAATGGCACAAGCAGAGGCATTTTCGCAGGTAAAGTGATCAGACAACGTCACGGTCTATTTTGTGGTCCATTATCATCATAGTCGGTTACTCATGGCAAGGGCAGTCGTGGTCATGTGGAATTCTTATTTATTAAAAGCCTTGACAGATGTAGTCCACAATGACGTAAAAGTTAACGCCATTATTGAGATTTGAGGTCGAAATATCAATATTCTACAGCTGCTTTATATCGAAAGTACTCGTCACCCAGTGGTACCATATATGTCTCATGCGAGGGGCTTTGGATACATGCCCAGTTTTCTCGAGGCATATTTACTGCCACAACAGCTGGAGTAAGATTAAAAATTCACCTTCATGCGTCTAATTTATAAAAAAATAGAATATTTAACTATAGAATGTCTGCATTAAAATAAAATATGCAATAATGATATAGCGGACCTAGTTCATTGCAGTTAAACTATGTACAAGGTTCTGCGATTTTCAACTTTAAGTTAAGGCGAATGCAAATCGCATTTCGAATAGTTTCAGAACTTCGTCGTTTATTTGTCGGCTAGAGTGTTTAAAAAATAAACCCTGCATATCGTTGAAGTTTCCTTAACATCGCGGTTGGTTTAAAGGAAATTTATCGGATATGATGAATTTAAAAATTCTAAAGAATCAGACTGGTCATACTTGTGACGTATACAGTGTAGCACTGGTAGTAATTTCGTGGGACGCATTATTCCAACTACATGACAATCTAACAGGAATTTAGACTATTACATTTAAAAAAACACACACACCGACTAAAGTGTAGAAGAAAAATGAATGAAGTTGCGAAATTTGATTTTATAAGGACTCGTAAAACCCAACCCGCTTTGCTGGCGGGTCATTGATTTGACTTAGATTCGATAGTTATAAAACGTTCGCAAGATCACCAGCTAGACCAATCTTCAAACTTCCTGAAAATTTTATGGAAATCGGTCCAGCAATTTCAGAGACTATAAGGAACATACTACATACATACATGCAACAACTTATGAATATGTAGGATTTTCGAATTTCTTAGTGAATCAGTCGATGTATGCTTTATTTACTTCAAATGTCATTATGCACAATGCAATTATAGAATTCCTATTTTCTATAATAGTTTTTCCTGCAAAACTCTCAATGTCTCAAAAACTCAAATGTCTTTTGTCAATTTAGAGCAGATCCGAAAAGTAGATAATTTCATGAATTCTTAAAGTTATAATAATAATAATACTTTTTATGAGAAATAAAACGTAATCCGTATTTTATTAAAAAAATAAAGGTCCTTTATGTCTGAAGACCCATCCTCGTATCCTAATCCCTCGAGATTTCGATACAAACTCTAATCCATTTTTTATTAAAAGTGTATTTTCTGATGTCGCAGGCTGACGGTAGTCTGCTCCTGAAGAAGATAGGAACCGAAGACGCTGGACTATACGAGTGCAGTCTTGAAAATGAGACAGATTATGTCGACAGGGTCAACTTGACCGTACGAAGTGAGTGTTCAGAAAACATGTTATTTTATTTATTAGTTTGGTAGCAAACAAGCCATAATTAATCGCTACGTTGATCTAGTTGTCAATATAATACGTGTTAGCGGACCGCAGTACTTTAAAGCCCTGTAGGTTACCTATGTCTTTTTTCGCGCGTACGTCTGATTCCTATACCGAGATAGAAGCAGAAAAAACTTATAATGTCGATTCAGCGAAAGAACCCTTGGCTCGAAGACCACCTAGATGTGCAAGTTGTTAGGAAATTGCCAAGACTCTGCCACCTGTATCCTCAGAACGCCGTGTCGGATCAGGTTTGAAATGGGTCGAGGAGGACATCTTCTCATCACGAGAAAGCATTACTCCCAAACTGACATCTAGTAGGCCCAGTATACAGTCATGGGCGCTGAAGAAGATCCCTCCTCCTTTCCACATTAATATTCACCTAAATTATTATCCGCACAGCTACTAGCATTTCAGTGTTGTGCTATACACATCCATTCTCGATCCTGCGATCTCTTGATTAAGATGCACATCTGATACCTCTGGGTCACAAGCTCAATATACCGTTCATAAACCTGTGAAATCCAATACCGACTGTCAGTTTATTTTCGACCTAGTCATCTAATGTATTGACTGACAAATTGATGATAGATTATAGTTTTATTTTCATTGCATTACCCAGGTAAGTGAACGAGACAGCTAGCCATCTGGTGTTAAATGGTCAGCCCCACCCAAAGATATATAATATAAAGGTTTTTCCAAATTTAGCGTTGCTATACCTATTTCTGCCTCAAAAAAACTATACGTCCGGGTTGAAGGATGGGACAGTCACTGTACTACACAATTGAGTCCTTTCAAACGAAATATTCATGGCCGTGAGCTCATTAAAAATGTGATATGAATCTGTTTGTGATAAGATTTGCATTTAGTTGCTAAGATGATGATAATGACGATAATAATTTCCTCATACAGCTATGACATCAAGCTCAACCCTACACTGACTTTCATAGAACTCAACCCTACACTGACTTTCATAGAACTCAACCCTACACTGACTTTCATAGAACTCAACCCTACACTGGCTTTCATAGAATCTACTAAAAAACTACACTCGTTTTTTGTTAGTACCATCATAAACTCCATTAGCGGGCAATTCGAGTGACATTCTTGTTCGTTTAATGTACACCAAAAAAAGCCGTAGCAATTTGTCGTAATAGGTCGCCGCTTCATTACGTCACGTTAGCCCCTCCTAATCGACAGTTCAATCGGGTTATAAGTGAGTAGACGTCATGATATATTCATACGAAACCATTAGAATTCGATTTCCTATACGAACCTCGTGCGTCCGGTAAACATTAGTTTGCTAAAAAAAAAACTCGATCGCTACAATTTATTTTGGGTATAGCGTCATGACGGAATTGCCCACAATAGTCCTGCACAGAAATCTAATAAATCGGATACAGTGGATCAGATAGGGTGGAGAATTCCTTGAGACTCTGCGAAAAGGGCAGTGGCGAAAATACCTTTTTTCGACTCTCTGTGACATTTCGTGATGCAGAGGCCAGCTGTAAGTGGAAGACCATAGTTGATGATAAAATTATGAATGTAGATCATGACCCACAGTCCACAGACATTGAAGACGCATGGAGATGAAGACAATCTACCTATGTAACTTTAATTTGCTACAGTACTGCTTGTCGTTAACTCAGTAATCTAGATTTCACCTCAAAGAAGCAACTATTTTTCGGAGTCAATTTCCTCTCGTTTCTGCTAATATCAGACAAGTTGAGTCATCCCAACTCAGACCAACCTTCTCCTCTTCTCAACCATCACAAAACAGATTACATAAAGAATAAACCCAAACACAAGATATGACAGATATCACAAGATAAGACAAAGAGACAGGTTGTAGGGCAATTAATTATTCACGAAAACTGTTTGTTGTTTTTTAAAACAAAAGACGTTCGTTTTTTTTCCAGATACACTTACATAATTGTAAAAATAAAAATTTATTCACCACCAATAAATTATTTTTCCCTTATCTAAACTTTTACTTGGCGAAAAACAAAAGATAATAAAAACTATGAATAAATTATCGTAACAACATTAACTCAGTCAGGTGTACACATAGTGCTTGCTAATAGGAACTTCAAGATAATAATTTATCGCTACTATTATTGTCTTGAACATTCATATCGCTTGCTTGCGATTATACGTTTTAAGTCAATCATAATATTGTTTTACACTGTGAGCTGAATGACATTTTCTTTTACTATACGAAGAGCAATAGAGGATAGCTTATACATAGATGGGCAGACGACTTCAAAGGTCCACAAAACTAAGACGTCGCAACCCTAATGATACAATCGCAGTATGAATGTCACAGTGAGATGATCCGAGAATATTTAAATTATACATTTAAAAGTCCTCCCTCTTGTAATGGCTCCCAAGCCATTTTCCATTGAGCTGAGCTCAGTAATCCCGCCGTGAGTTATATGGCAATCTCGCTGAATTGAGTCCGTTATGAACGAATGTATTGTGGCCATGAATGATGGTGAAAAGAGCGATTTTTCGCATGTACGTTTTACTGGTGATACGGTAAGATGTGAGTCCGTACATTTTGCCTATATTTTTACATATTACCCACTATACTGTCTATTTATATCCGTTTTTTCAGCTTGCACTGCTGTTATATCACAAAATATAATCGGAGTTAAAATTTAACTTCAATTTCATGCCTCAATTTGGGGATTGCATTCGCGTCGTCTATGAGATCCGGCAATAACTTATCACCATTTGGACTGAAAGCAACTTGTGCTACTTTTAATTTTCCTACATATGCTGATAGCCTTGAGAAGCTATATCAGCTTTACCCTAGAGTGTAAGTGAGCTCTCGGCGCTCAAACCGAAGGTGTTGTTAATACTGGCAAGAGCAATGCTTCGCAGAATCTACCACCGGATCGGAAACGCGACCCACTGAGAAGATCCGGCGAGAAACTCAGTGGGCCTTGTGCTACTAGTATGAATACCAATTATAGGAATATACGGCACTTGCTTGAATATAGTAGACATTAAACCATGGTCACTGTACAATAATAATAGCGTGCCTGAAGAGGATCACAAAACACCGAAGGTCGCATCACGTAATGACTGTGATTAGATACGTCCATTCCAAGCCGAGCTCTTGTGCAAGCCATTGTGCGCTATATGGATTTGTTCCATTACCCACTGCAACTAGCTTAATTGCTGCATCGATTTTACTGTCCATTTATTTGCTTTTGATCACAAACTGAATTGGTGGTGCAGTAGTCAGCGGCCCTGACTTTTGCGCCAACAGTCGTTGGTCCGATTCCCACATTGGACAAACATTCGTCTAATGATGACGTTTGTTTGCACTTTGGTTGTTTAATATCTATATATATATGTATATATTTAAACATATATAAGTATTTATTCCAGTCTCTGGTACCCATAACACAGGGAAACCTAATTAGGGGTCGTATGATCGTGCGTGATTTATTCCCAGCTATTTATTATTATTATTAATAGGACGGGGAAAAGTTTCTTTGCCTTTTTAAAGAAAATTCACAACATTCTTTAATATAGTTTATTTACATTTAACTAAAGTAAGTAGGTACCATTTTGTTCGATAACTTTTTGCTATCTTGTGGGTAGGGACACGATCCCATTGCTATAAAAATTTTGGGGCTTCTGATCAAAATACCGCGACAATTGGTTTTGGCAGTATTCTCGTGATGTTAATCTGACACTGCCTAAAGAATTCTGAAGAGACCGAAACAGATGGAAATCTGAAGGTGCAAGGTCAGGACTATACGGCAGATGCATTAACACCTCCCAGCCAAGCTCTCTTAATTTTTGCTGAGTGGCTAAAGATGTGTGAGGTCTAGCGTTGTCATAATGAAAAATCACGTCCCTTCTGTTAAAAAAAACACAGAATGGTACGGATGTATATCGAAGCTATATTGAAATTCTTAGAAAAAGAGCATTTCTATTAGCCAGCGAATTGAAAAACTGTTGCAATTTTTTCTGATAACTCTTACCACAAATAATGAAATGAGAGATTGTATCATATCTGTAAGATTTTTGGCCAGAGCAAAACTCAATCGATGCCAACACATCCAAAGTATGTCATAGCATTGGGGATATGTTCCCCAATGCAGCCTACGTAGTCCACAAAGATGGCTACAGTTCGAGCGTCCTTGATTCTGTCACAGATAACAATAACCTCTCCGCTTCTGAAGTCTTCCGTTGTCAATAAGTCTGGTAGGTATATATTCTATTCCGGAAATAGCGAGGTGCCGGATCGATGAAAAATTCATTTGTCGAACACACACACACACGTGAAACGTTTATGTAACGTGTTTGTTGACTTTTAGGGTGGTATCTGTTTGCACGATAGGGGTCTGTCTCTGTTATTGTGCATGTTATATATTGTATATATATCATGTGGGATTTTGTGGCGAAAACTACTGGATTTACCTACCGCGTGGGTAGGTTACTGCCACCCTGCCTATTTCTGCCGTGAAGCTGTAATGTGTTTCGGTTTGAAGGGTGGGGCAGCCGTTGTAACTATACTTGAGACCTTAGAACTTATAGCTCAAGGTGGATGGCACATTTTACGTTGTAGATGTCTATGGGCTCCAGTAACCACTCAACATCAGGTGGGCTGTGAGCTCGGCCACCCATCTATGCAATAAATAAAAGATTTGAACACCAAAATCTTTATTTCAAAATTCACTCGTAACAACGCAATGGCATCGATAACTGACATTGACATTCATCTTTTTTTAAACAAATTTAGTGTTGCCAGTGTGAAAAACTAAAAATCTACTGCTAGTACCAAAATAACTTGTTTAGAAACAAGGAAATGACATTTAAAGTATATTTTATAGTAAATTCGTTCACAATTCCATGTGGAAATTAATTTTGTAACTTCATATTACTTAATCTCGGTCACCGCAGTTTTATTGACATTCTTCATTAATTCTAACTGCTTTACAAACAGCGCAAGCACGGAAAAACTTAACAATAAAGTAACTCCGCTTTCATTACATACGTATGTATATGTAAATTATCGTATTTATGTGTACATTGTTTATTTATTTATCCAGTTGTAACTACGTCGCGTTTAATTTCTTTCTTGAAATTTTTTTTTGTATTGCTTAGACGGGTGGGCGATCTCAGAGCCCACCTGGTGTTAAGTGGTTACTGGAGCCCATAGACATCTACAACGTAAATGCGCCACCCACCCTGAGATATAAGTTCTAAGGTCTCAAATATCGTTACAACGGCTGCCCCACCCTTCAAACCGAAACGCATTACTGCTTCACGGCAGAAATAGGCAGGGTGGTGGTACCTACCCGCGCGGACTCACAAGAGGTCCTACCACCAGTAAATGATTCTCGTCCACTTGGAATCAAGTTGTCTGGAAGAGATGGCTCTTATCGATAAGACGGCCCTCCAGACTCGTATTTAAGATTTATCATTTACAATAAGCATAGTCTAATCTGATCTGCCCAAGATTAAAAACATTAGTTAAGTTAATTCCCAATTAACTTCCACGATACGGACGCAATATCAAAACAGAAATGATTCTCGCCCACTTGGAATCAAGTCGTCTGGAAAAGATGGTTCTTATCGATTAGACGGCCCTGAAGACTCGTATTTAAGATATTTCATTTACAATAAAGCATACTCTAATCTGATCTGGCCAAGATTAAAAACATTAGTTAAGTTAATTCCCAATTAACTTCCACTATAATACGGACGCAATATCAAAACATGTTTTCTTTTGTGGGTATAATCAACCGGCTTATAAGTCCTTAATTAATTAGTACGTGTAATGAAAACAAAACGCCCACGACCGCGTGTGCTCATGTTCGCCTTGTAAACAATGCGTTTGATTATGTGACGTCATCGCTGTGTTAATAAACTTAACTCGTTTTTGAGTATAAATTATTTTTGTTCTAGCGCGGACGCTAATGCCGTAAGAAATGTGCTTATCATAGTAATAAATTTATTCATTAATTAGTATAATTAAGGCGCCGGGTGTCTTCCTTTGAGACACGTGACGTCTGTGCGTGTGAGCATACTTAAAATACGCACGCAATAAAATGTTTTTGCAAGTTGTGACGTCACAACTCAAGGTCATGTGACCCGATTATTTTGTTTCATTTATAAAAATAATTTGCAAATATATTATTATAATAATATAATTAATGGGAGAAATCCACTATTTCTTTGACCCATAGATAATAATAATACTTCAAGCTTATTTTGAGACTGTGCAAGATTCTTTTTAAATCAAAGTCATCGTTGTGTGAGGAATCACTTTTCTTATTCTTCCCACCACAAAGCAACCAAAGCGTCCATGGAGATAGAATAAGACCCTCTCTGTACTGGTACGGAGTGGTTTGTCTATAATTCTATACCGATGCTTAAATTGTGACCCAATTTTTCTAAGTAAACTTCCAGTGTATCTATATGATCATGACGCTAGCGAACACACTGAAATGTGTTCAATAAAATTTTGTATCCGTCAATGTAAAGTATGATTGGCGGCTCGTATCCGTGCAGAGTCACAATACGTTTTTAGTAGTGATAGGACCTCTTGTAAGTCCGCACTGGTAGGTACCACCACCCTGCCTATTTATGCCGTGAAGCAGTAATGCGTTTTGGTTTGAAGGGTGGGCCAGCCGTTGTAACTATACTGAGACCTTAGAACTCACATCTCAAGGGGGTTGGGGGTTTTTACGTTGTAGATGTCTATGGGCTCCGGTAACCAATTACCACCAGGTGGGCTGTGAGCCCGTCCAACCATCTATGCAACAAAAATAAATAAATAAACTTTCTGTAACTATTGTTGTTAACCAAGAAAGAAGGCATCACAGAACTTTGTTAGATAGATGTTTCACCTTTTTAAGACCCTCATGGTCTTATGACCACCTCATAATAGATTTATCGCCCACTAAGCTTCAATATAATGGTCCACAGCGGAGCCCCCGCCTCTAGTGAACGTTACCGTCCATTCCTCGACTATCCTCGCTCTGATCCTCTGGAACGTGGCCGGAGACGGTGGTCATCCCATCATAGATTTCACCGCTCAGTATAGATCGGCGATGCCAGTCAACGGGACATTGGAACCGTGGAGGCCAATCAGCCCCAATCACATTAGTCCTAATTCGGTAAGTTTTATTACACACGGTTTCCCTAAATATTAATTTCACTATAAATATAAATTTTGTAACTATACTGCGACCTTAGAACTTATATCTCAAGGTGGGTGACGCATTTACGTTGTAAATGTCTATCGGCTCCAGTAACCACTTACCAGGTGGGCTGTGAGCTCGTTCACCCATCTAAGCAATAAAAATAGAAATAAAAAAAACAGACTCGTAATATAGATAAAACGTAATTTATATCCATCACGCTTAGTATTTCTCTAGATTTCAGAAGAAAAACGAAATGATTTCAAAGCAAAAAAATATATATTGGTTTCATAAATATCTTCAGTGTGATCCATCGAATTTTCATATCGCAATATTAACTATTAGATCTGATACACAATTAGAATAGATTCTTTGAATGGGATGCATATTATTATAAAGATAACGAATTGGAACCCGCGGTTTCGATTTCCTTTAGGGGTCAATCAATATTTTTGGGATAATCTTTAAAGAGGCAATTTGTAGTCTTTCCTATCATGTACACAATAAAACAATCTGTCGATGAGTAAAAGGCTATTTGGTTTAAGCGACATTTTACCAACTTTAAAGGAGGGTAATGTAAAGTTAAAAAAATTTGAAAAAATATCATAACAAAAAAACTTCTTCAGCTATTTGAATAGAGTAAACATAATTGAAGATCAATTAAAAACATTGAACGATGCTAATACCAAATAAAACACACCTTTGAATACAAAGATAACCATAGACACAGCCTACTGAGTTTCTCGTTGATCTTCTCAGTGGGTCGCGTTTCCGATCCGGTGGTAGATTCTGCGAAGCACTGCTCTTGCTAGGGCTAGTGTTAGCAAATTCTCTCCTACCTCCTACCTCGTTACCAGCCAATAGGAAGGGAAAAAAACACAAGATAAATGTCGCTTGAACCAAACAGCCTTTCACTTCGCGATATCGGAAGGGTAGGTCTATCTATGTCAGCGATCGGGGAACCGGGGTAAATTACCGCAAATGGGGTAAATGAAATTTTGGGGGGTAAAAATGAAACTTTTGTGAGTAAAAAAAAAATTGAAGTGAAACTTCTTTAGAATCGTTAAATTTTTAGTTGTTTTCTTTTCAAATTTATCATGGGGACTATAATATAAATGCTAAAAAGAAGCAACCTTCGTTTTTTTTTTGTTCTTCGTCATGGGGTAATATCGACTTACACAAAAATATTTTGGGGTAATAATTAAAAAAGTTCTCCGACCGCTGATCTATGTAATGTAATAAATGAAAAAAGGTATCTTTGTTATTCTTTCAGCGTCAGATCGACGTGTACCATTTGGAGCCGAACGCCTCGTACTGGTTCCGAGTTTGGGCGACGAACGTGCTCGGACCGGGCCCCCCAGTCGAAGTGCTCGCTACAACCCTGTACAGTGATCAGGAAGCAGGTGAATACATACAATTAGACATTAGACAACAATACTTCGTGGATTGGTGGGCGATGTCTTTTCCGTTTTACTGATATTCAACTTTTTTAAATATTAAACTTTAAATGGCTCTTAATTAAAGTCGCAAATATGCCGCTTAAACCAAATACCCGTCTATATACATAATATGTTAGCTAATCCTAATATGTGGTGTCTTAAAGTTAATCATAGCACTAGCTACCGCTACCACACACACACAAACTCACACGCAAATACACGAAAACAATAAATGCATCGACGCTTTGAAATATCGTAGATGCTACATGAGGTTGAGATCAGCTTGATGTTAAACGGATATCCAAATCTAGAGAATCCGCGGCCCTAATCACCTTTAGTCTTATAAAGATCTTCGAGCGATCGAATTCTATTCGATCAAGATTCAAGATCGCTTCCATGTCTTCTAGTAGATAGCTCAATTCTTTGGCCTTTCCTCCTCCTCCACATTGCGTCGTTTTCCTCATTACTGAGGGTCGTGACTCCCTCGCTTCATCAATATCTCTTGTACGATTGTGCTCTATCTGCTGCGATCCTTGGCCCCGTGGAGGGCATTGGGCTTTAACTAAATTACGTAAAATGTCATGTAAGGTTAAGCTGCTTTCAGACTACGCTATGCTATAGAGCCATATAGTATAGCAACGTATACTTAGCCAATAATATATAGTACAGTACAGTGTGAACGTGTCCATAACAATGTATGGTGCGCGATATTGTTGTGCTATGAGCTATATACTATATGTTATTATATTATAGGGTAGTCTGAAAGCAACTTTATCGTTGGTTAAACTATAATTTATAAACCCGCAATCGAAGACGAACATGTTGACTCAGGGCTTCCGATTGTATGTATTCCATTGCGTGCTATGGAATGCAATTCTAAAATTTGTTTTCATATAGATCTTAAAGCGTCGTCTAGAAAAAAGTTACAGCTACCCGCAATACTTCATATCTAGGTTTTTTTTTATTGCCCTTGTAGGCAGACAATCATACGGCTCACCTGATGGTGAGTGGTTACCGTCACCCATGGACTTCAGCAATGCCAGGAGCAGAGCCAAGCCACTGCCTACCTAGATAATTAATTAGCACTATGTCTTCCGCAGAGCTGTACAAACACTTCCTAGAGGGCGTCGAGACCTTCGACACGAGGACGTGGGTGGCGGCCGTCTGCGTGGTGATGGGCACGCTGCTGGTGCTCGCGGTCGGCACCTGCGCCGTGCTCTGCCGCGAGTGGCGACGCACCGGTGAGCCTCGCATGTAGCGCCAGCCCCTGCCCAGACTCTACTTCGTATGGAGATAGAGTCGGTACTTAAACAAGACCATACATGTGGTCCAACTAAAGCGAACGCTTTGAACATTCCTACATATTAATGCGTATGACTCTACTTCTTGTATAGAGTCGGCGGTTAAACTGACTCTGCTTATAGTGCGGGTAATGACAAATCAGTCGTCTAGTTTGTGTTGTGCAGGTTATATAGCTGAAGGTTGAAGGTGTGTAGAGTAAGAAAATGCAAAGAGCCTATGAATATAAATTACACAAGGTCGGGACTTTATGTAAAGATCGATCGATAACTGAACAAACGATGTATGTAAACAATTGCCTTTTAAATTGGCGGTACAGTTACTCTATTTTGTTTGTAGAGTCGGTAGTTCTATGTATTCTATGATATGTGGTGAAGGAAAAAGAAAATTTATATCGATCAAATTGACTCTACGTGAACGTAGAGATAGGATAATCAAGAAGCAAAACAATAAAAAGCACAACTGTAACTATTTTTAAATAGTCAACAGCGAAATGGACTAATATTAATAAAGCTAAAAGACAATAGCTCAATTCGATTTGTTTGAATAGATAAAATTTTAATATTACTTCGGCTCAAGGTAGAGTTCGTAATACGACTTTAATAGTGTCAATAAATCGGCAATTTACGAATAACTTATAAATACGGTGACCTCGTGTCATGTTAGAGTCGCAACGACTGGCTTAAAGAAAACCAAAATAATGAAGGAAAAAAATACTGAATTACAGTTTAAGCAAACTCTACATTAAGAGTATTTCGTAGACACTGCATTAAAATAAATCGAAGCAATTGATATTAGATAAATAATAAAATGCTTATGGCGGCCATGCTCGGACTGGCCACTGTGCAGTCCCAAAGGCAAAATGCGCTGAGTCATGTGTATCAATAACACACGGTGGTATGCCACTAGTCAAATTTCACTATCCAATACGCATTCGATAAAAAAAGACCTCCCATTAATCAAATATTTCCTCAATCAATAGATTGAGTCTTAATAACTTTTAGGCCGACCGAAAATAATTAAAACACGAAGATTTGTGTCGCGATTTTCACTGACAATTTTAATAAGTAAATCGAAGGTTTTAAGACTTAAACGACATTTTTGCAACTTTACATGAGATCCATTTAAAGTTTATAAAAAAATTGGAAATATGTAATATCATAACAAAAAAACTTTTTCAACTATTTGTATATAAAGTAAACTCAATTGAAGTTTAATTTAAAACATCGAATTATTGATGCTAATCTATATATATAAAAGAAAGTCGTGTTAGTTACACTATTTATAACTCAAGAACGGCTGAACTGATTTGGCTGAAAATTGGTGAGGAGGTAGCTTAGAACCAGGAGAAGGACATAGGATACTTTTTATCACGTTCCCATTGGGACGTGTCATAAAACGTGGTATAACAAAACGCAACTAATATGTAATAACAAAACGCAACTGACAGCTAAACGTGATATATTATATGGTTATTTATAGTAGAATTTTGAAGTTGACCAGTTGATGTGTTTGAAACAAACCCTGTGGCGGAACAAAGTTCGCCGGGTCCACTAGTATCAAATAAAACTGACCTTTAATTGCAAAGATAACAGTCGCGTATTAAGCGGAATGTCGCTTATACCAAACAGCCTTTCATCCCTCATGAATGACATTAATTAAGTTTAGAAAATTATCTCATTGTATTTTTTTTACATTGAGCACTAAGAAATTTCTTGAGTGACATGAGACAAAAGTCGTATTTAATCGAATGTTGTTTGAGATATTGGACAAACGTTTGACCAATGGCATACCTCCCTTAATTCATTGTTCGACCTCAACGATATCGGTAGCTTTTAAAACACTTGCTCGGACGTGGATCAAGATGTATAAATACAAAGAAAATAATCATAGTGATTCTGTAATAATATATTAGTGTAGTATGTAGGATCGTTTAGAATACTATAAAAAAGTGATATTATATTACATTATTAAGTAAAATAAAAAAGACAAAAAACTTGCAATAAATAAGATACGCTTAAATACTTCAATTATAATTATGGTCCAATAATGTTTACTAACGTTTTTATGCACTTTCCTATTTAATATATGTACTTTGAACACGGCTTCAGTAACTATTTAAAATATTTAAATATAATGATTATATCTATAAGTACAAGGATTTAGTGCCAAGGAATTATGATTATACTTCCAAAATTTGTATTAGAATTTAATAGGTTTAAAAAAGTATAGCTTCGCTATTTTAAAGGTGCTATGCTTACATATAAAAAAAAAATGTTACCATTGTTTATGCTCAAAGTGACAGAAAGTTTAAAAAAAAACGCCTTAAAAATTTATACCAAATAAAATAATTTTAAGTTTCCAATTAACTATACAATCCCAATTTAACGTAGGACAAAATGCCTTCTTTGACCACTACAGTGCTGTGGTCGATGCATTTTTTGTTTGTTACAAAAAATATCATCAACATTCCTGTGCTGATTCTAACACACAAAGCTGAAATTCCCACCTACTGAGAGAGACTAGATATATTAAAAAAAAAAATATGCGTCACGCGAATACCGTAAAATGGGGCGATTAGGGACAAATTCCAACTTTATGAGCAATTTTAAGGTAGTTGTTGATGTATATAATGCTATATCAGGATCAAAATGATTGAATCTTGGGGGCATCTTTGTTGTCTAATTTAAAATTATGCAACTAGCATTCCAGTTTAAGCAAAAAATGCAAAAATAGGTGTAATCCCTATTTACCCGAAAATTGCGGTTAATTGGGACGAAATGAGAAATTTTTTAGGGTTGGCACTACTTTTATTTTTATATATAGTTTTAATTTATTTATTTATTTAGTTGCACCAACAAAGTGATCATCAATAAAAAAAATTGAAAAACTGACAAAAGTACATGGCAGACATCACCTCAATTATAGGTGCAATCGACAGTGCTGATATTTCTATCTGGGTTAAGAGATTAGGTGTGTCGGTTATTCCATGNTTCCAAATAATAGGTCCTGAACCAAAAAACTATTAATTTGTAAGCAATATCGAGATAATTTCGATATAGACATTTCGCTGTCGGACTTCCTTACTAGTCGCGGCGGCGAACGTGAGTACCCGTGGCCTGCAAACGGTGCTGCGCGAATGGTCGCCTCGCCCACCGCTTCGCTGTTCGCACCGCCGATCCCCGTGGCCAGGCCGTAATACATTAAATTGAATGAAAGTTTTATTGCAAGTGATCTGACTTAATTTTTTCATTGTTGTAATATTAAAATATTAAATATTTCCGTGATAAAATATATTATTCTAGCTGTTTCAAAGATTAGCTCGGACAAAAGAACAGACAAATACTTCATTTTATTTACTTTCAAATATTTTTAATTTTCGATTTCTCAGAGGCGACTATAATTTAATTCATATTTAAAATTCATTAGCGAACTTCTATTGTTAGAAAATGAATGTTGGTGTGTTTATTTGATTCTGATTTATGCACACACGCATCCGATATTTAATATTATATATATAATAATTTAAATTAATATAATATATAACTCAATTGTAAAGAATCGTTGTGTTCATACTTCAAGAAAGATTTTTGTTTTTGTACCATTGACGACATGTGACGACGCCCTGACTTCGAAAACATTGATGATGTTTTCATTTTATTTTTAAATATTCTATTTTGATAATTTTGTATATTATCGTTGAAATTTTATTTGCATGTAGATCCTCTGATATCGGAAAAAATAATTGCAAGTATAGCTTAGTTAAGTATAGCTAATTTTCAGCGAAGTTTAAGGAACACGGTGATTGAATATAAAAATAACCTTTTCCGTATTATCGATTACATTAGTGCAAATAAATTTTTATTATTATTATTGATAAGTGTAATAAAATTTAGGCAAACCTACTCATTTATTATATAACGTTTGGATTGTTTTTTTTTTCTAATAACATATTTGAGGAGGATCTATCAATATATGCTTCACCCCAATATGTTGCTCACAAAATAGCCACGGCGATAAAAATAGTTATGTAGGGTTCCGCTAAAAAAATAAAGATGTAGGAATTTAATTGGATTTCCGGCTTTAGCGCCTATCTATGTTTTTCTGTTGTTGTTGTTGTTGTTGAATTTGTTAGAAACGTAATTAATTATAACTAGTGATCCCGCAGTAGTCGAAATTCGACTGTAATTAAATTAAATTATAAGTTAAGAACATTATTATTGGTTATATCGCACGTATATGGCACTCCTTCACTATATTCTCTATAAGTGTGGGAAATTTCATACTCTGCCGCGAAATCTTCGTAAAAAGGGGTACAAAGTTTTTGCTTCACGTATGAATATATAGATAACAATAAAGGTTTTATTGTAATTTGAAAATAAGAGTTCTTAACAGTTTTTAAGAGTTTTCGTAAACGATCAGTCTCGTTAGAAAATCTTGCGATACGAGTGACGATTGCGATCGAACATTGTAAATTAACCATTTGTGTCCACAATAACGCGAACAACAACAATAATGACAATGCGATGCACGCCACATAGCATGAGCGGGCGGCCATTGATATCTCCATTCAAATACCGGAAACAATAAATCAGCGTAGTGCGACGTACACCGGGATTACACTGCGCGCCGTTTCTTCAATCGTCCTCTTTGCACAATAATTCAAACCGCATCAACTAGAAAACAACGTTCAAACTTCCTGCATCGGCTGCCACTACACAATGCTTTTAATGTTTTCATGAACATCGTATAGTCTCGGTCCAATTGTTTCGCTTCAAAAAACATTTCGCCGAGCCGAAAGGCGATCGAATTTCGATTTATGTATTCGCACCGTCGATCTAAAATGCTTTGAAAGTTTCGTTATGTTGCGGCCTCTAGTTAACACGCTCAAGAATCTGATATTTGCAGTGAAAGTGCAGTGAGTCACGCTTGGTGCGGCGGG